CAACACAAAATTCCAGAGAACATAGCAGCAATATCTCCAAATATTTGAGGAGAAAGCTTTGTGACACAACATAGTTAAGTGTAGCCACTGTGGCTTCTATGGATCAAGGCCATGGAAAGAAGGAGAAAACATCGCCTTCTTCACATATCCTTATTTTAAAAATTACCTGTAGATGTGCTCCTGCAGACTTCAAGATAAACCAAACCAAGAACTCAAATGGAGGAAGAAGACAGTTTGGCAGCTTCTTACAATACTATGCATAAACCAGCAATCACACTCTTTGTTCTTTACCTAAGTGAGTTGAAAGCTTATGTCCCCACAAAAACCTGCACAAAATGTTTATCGTGGCTCTTCTCAAAACTCGGAAGGAACCAAGACGTCCTTGAGTAGGCGCATGGATAAATAAGCGGTGGGACATCCAGACAACGGAGTATTATTCAGTACTAAAATGAAATGAGCTATCAAGCCATGAAAAGACCGCGGGAATGTTAAATGATATTACTAAGTGAAAGAAACCAGTCTAAAATGGCTGCATACTGAATGATTCCATCTATATGACATTCCGGAAAAGGTGAAACTATGGAGATGGTGGTTGCCAGGAGAGTGGGGAGAGGGAGGGAGAGAAGGATGAATAGGTGCTACAGGGGAATTTTAAGGCAGTGAAACTGTATGATAGGCAATGATGGATACTTGGTTGTTACCCAATTGTCAAAGTCCACAGAATGTACAACACAAAGAAGGAAGCCTAAAGTAAACGATGGACTTTAGTTAATAATAATGTATCACTATTGGCTCATCAACTGTAACAAATGTATCACACTAATGTAAGATGTTCATAATACAAGAAATTGCGGTAGGGATGATGGGATATATATGAGTGAGGAGATCTCTCTCTACTCTCCTTTCAATTTTTTTTGTAAACCTAAAACTACTCTGTAAAAAATCTGTTGATTTAAGTGGAAGTAATGATATCAAAAGATTGGCAAGTCTTCTTAGATTAGATCTCAAATTCGGTTGAACTGTATGTATTCAGTGGTCTTTGGGAGCCTAAGGGCAAAGCCAGACCCAAAGTCCTTCTCTTGGTGGTTTTCTGCTGTTTTCTTCAAGCTCTGCCATGTCTGAACTCTGTTTGCCATTTTTCTTGCCCTATTTGATGGCTCTTGAACAATCACAATTCTCTTCTGGTTCAGTTCTTACTAACAGAGGTCACGTCCTTTATGTTGTTGGTATTCTATGCTGGGAATTCTATACTGGTATTCTAAACACTTCTATCTTTCCATTTACAACAGTGGAGCTGCACATAGTGACATAGCAACTATTTTCATAATCAAGGAACCTGAATAGCTGAGAAACGAATCAATTTAACTATCCAATGCCCAAAGGCTCAGAAACAGGCAGCACCAGACACCTTGGGAAGTAGGAGTAAAAGTTGATCTGAAAAGAGAAAAGTGGGTGAAAGCCTATTAAAGAAGCACATATCCCCCGGATGCCCTCATCCACTCAGCTCAGCTGAGGAGCAGTCCCTCCTTCACTCTGTAGAAAACTGTAGGGTTATTCTCTGGAGGGTACAAAACAGGTTCTTTAGGCTAAAAAATACCAGATACAACTGAAGGCAAGGATGACATACTGGAAGCTGATGTTTCCAGCTTTCTTCTCATACCTGGATTTCAGGATCCTAGAAACCATATACTCTTCCACAAAGAAATTGGGAGAAACTTCTATGGACATCTAACTAGTCTTTAAGAGAAAAAGAAAAACTAAGAAATTAATGAGAGGATTCTCTGCAAAATGACCCAAGAGAACCACTATATGGTGAAACCCTCAGTTGACAAGGCTTTTCCCCTGACCTGAATGTCTAACCAGCTTTTAGTGCCCTACTCCTTTGAGTAGACAGTACATGAAAAGACAATATCATTAATTATCAAGGAAATGCAAATCAGAACCATAATGAGGTAACAAATATACACCCTCTAGAATGTCTAAAATTTTAAAACTGTCAAAACCAAGTATTGATGAAAATGCAGGGCAATTAGAAGGCTCACATTGCTGATGAGAGTGTAGAATTGGTACAACCACTCTGGAATATAGTTTGACAGTTTCTTATAAAGTTTTGAATACCTTTGCCATAAAACACAGTAATTTCACAACTTGGTATTTAGCCAAGAGAAACGGAAACATTTTTCCATATAATCAGTTGTACATGAATGTTCATAACAGCTTTATGCTCCAAACTGAAAGCAAGCCAAATGTCCATCAATAAATGAATAAACTGTGGTGTATTAATATAATAGAATTAATAGAATAGAATAAAAAGGAAAGTAAACCACAAATTCACACGATTGATGAACTTCAAAAACATTAGATATGCTACGTTACTATGAAATTCTAGAGTAAGCTAAACTAATATACAGTGGCATAAAGCAAATCAGTGGTTCCTGGGGCTGGAGGTGGAGCAGTGGGAAGGGAGAGTAACTGTAAAGGGTCACCAAGGGTAATGGAAATGTTTCTTATCTTGATTGTGATGAGGGTCACATTTTTTTCTTGTGCCTGCCAATATATATCACATACCTGCAATACATGCCAAAATGTATTGAACTTTAAAGTTGGAACCTTTGTTATATGTAAATTATACAAATGGAATGAAAATACAAATTACATCTCAGTGAAGTTGACTGAAAAAATCGCTCATGAGACAGCCACGGATCACTGAACATTTAAGAAAAGCATGTAGCATGAAAGTCAGAGGCCAGGAAAGACTCATGGAAGGGCAAGATGCAGAAAACAGACCTTTGGTGGACAAGAAAACATTTAAAAATAAAATATCACCATTAATCTTCAGAGATACTTTCTCTAAAAATGATACATCTACAAAACAAGAAAGGTTACTATAAGAAAAGAATATTCAGAGAACAAAAGAGAGCTTTTATAAATTAAAAATACAAAGTAAAAACTTTTTACACTGAAAAGGAACATTGGAAAATTATAAGAAAATCTTCCACAAAGCAGGAGGAGAAAACTACAGGGATGAAAATAGAAAATAAAAGAAAATTAGGGCCCGATTTGGGTGAATGTGAATTATAGGAGTTCCACAAAGAGAAGAGAAAGAAAACAGAGTGGAAAAAAATTATCAAAGAAATAATTCAAGGAAGTTTTCCAGAACTGGAGGCTAAGTGTTTCCAGATTAAAAGGGCCCACTGAATATCTAGTGGATGAAAACAGACTAAATCACATCATGACAAATTCCAGAAACTAAAGACAAAGAGGAGAGGCTTTCAGTAAAGGGGAAAGGTTTTCATACAAATAGTCAAGAACCAGAATTGCTTTAGGCTTCTTGGTTGCAGCATTAGAAGCTAGAAGACAGGGACTAACTCTAAAAAATTCTGAGGGAGAATTCTAACTGGCCTAGAATTTTAAATCTAGACAAATTGTCAATTATCGATGAGGGCATAATAAATTTTCAGACATGCAGGGTCTCAACAACTGTACATCTCATATATTCATTTTAGAATATTAGTAGTTAAGAAACTACTACAGATTGATTCATCAAAACAAAAGATTAAATGTAGAAAGAGATGGGAGCCAAGTGCAGTGGCTCACCCCTATAATCCTGGCACTTTGGGAGACCAAAGTAGGTGGATTCCTTGAGCTCAGGAGTTCAAGATCGGCCTAGGCAACATGGGGAAACCCCATCTATACAAAAAATACAAAAATGAGCTGAGCCTGTTGGCGTGTGCCTGTAGTCCTATCTACTTAGGAGGCTGAGGCAGGAGGATCACTCGAGCCCAGGAGGTGGAGGTTGCAGTGAGCCAAGATTGGGCCACTGCACTCCAGTCAGGGTGACGGGGAGATCCTGCCTCAAAAAAAAAAAAACAAAACAAAATGTGGGGTAGGGGTTGGAATCAGGGACTGAAGTATCTAAGAAGGAACTAAGGGAACTCCCCGGATGTGGTGAGGGGGAACCGTAGATAATGTCTATATCACAGCCAGCCCAAACTAGAGCAGGTAAGAGGGCTACAGAGGCAGGTACTTCAAGAAAATGAACTTGAATAAATTGCTGATGCATCTTGAGATATCATGAGCAGATTTCTGGAAGCAACTGAGAATTTGGGCTTGAGTTGGTGATAATAATGTACAAGAAAAAACCGAAGCAAATAGAAAAATTAAGACAGGTCATTTCAGAGCAAATAAAACCTTTTTCAGGAAAGGAACCACAGCCTTAATTATAGGACACTCAAAAATTCACCTATGAATAATACTTACATCATCATATTATAAATATTGAATATTATGCAACCAAATTTATGATGTAATTGAATTGAGAGCATAAGGAGATGGGAAATATGCATGCTTGTGAAAAATCTAGAAGTAGCAGTAGAGCATGTCATTTAATCATTCAGAGGGAAATGGAATCAGCTGAAGACTTGAATGTGGTTGCTCCTGGGAAGCAAGAAAGTAAGGGAAAGGGTAATGACTATAATTTTGTAACAAGTCTTGCAGACCTCTTAAAACCCAGCACATGACACCTAGCTCCTTGGAGAAATGGCAGACTCCAGGGCCAGAAGGGGATGCGAACAAGATGAACCTAGAACAGATTGTTCTCCCAGAAAGTAACAAGGTGCTCCAAGGATGCTGGAGGCAGGTCACAAGGACATGAGCCAGCTTGAAAGGGCTCCCTCTGGCCATCTCTGGGACACCCTGAACACCAAAATACTTAAATACAATAATGTGTTATAAACAGGTGGTTTGGGGGGGGAAAGAATTAGCCTATACTGAAAATGATAAATAACAAACAATAAACACATAAAGGAGGCAGAAGGGAGGTCTCTTGGAGAAGGCCAGAAGCCCGCTGGTGAATGTGGAAGGAGTGCTGGGGTTAGAAAAGTAACATTTTGTATCATCATCATAAAGATTGGAATCAGGCAAGGATCATCAGTAAATACTAATTCTAGAGGAAATTTTGATGAGAAGCAGCATATTTATATGGTCTTGAAGTGTCTACCCACAGGCCACTTATTAGCTGCAATGAAGAAAAAAGGAAACTAATTCTGTAGTGGGAGAAACAGGATAATACCTTGACAGAATGATCAAAATTAAGCACAGCTATGAGGGATCAGTGAACATTATGTGCTTCCAAATGTGATACCCTGAAAACGACACTATATCTCCAATACAGTATTCTGGCCGTGAAGGCATAGGCATAATTTAATCAAAACGGAGCATTTATATAAATGAGTATCATCCTAGTTTAAAAAGGTAGGTGGGAGGGACTGCATTCTCAAAAAAAAAGTCATCGTCATAAAAGTCAAGAAAAAGGCTGTGAAAATGTTCTGGGTGATGACAACTAATCACAATACTTGACCCTAGACTAGATTCTGTGCTGAAGGAGAAAGATGCTGTTAAGACATTATTAAAGCAACTGAAAAAAATGGGAATATGGACAATACATTAGATAAAATTATTACATAATGCAAGTTGTAAGTGTATGAAATTGGCAACTGTACCAGGGTTATGTAAGAAAATATCTCTATTCTTTGGAAATATCAAAGTATTTAGGGGTAAATGACCATGATCTGTAACTTACCTTCAAATGTTTCCCAGAAAAATATTGGAGAAGGAGAGAGAGAAAACATGATAAAGCAAATGGGTTTAAAATGTTATCAATGAATAAATTAAGATACAGGAGTGTCCCTTACTCTATTTTTGTTTTGTATAAATTTGAAATTATTGTCAGATTAAAAGTTTAAAAGAAACTAAGCACATTTTAATAACTGCAAAATTTTAATTATAAAACCAGCAATACTAAAAAAGGGTATTAATACAAGAGACACTGTGTATGCACCTTGAGAAATAAAATATTACTAAAGCATTTGAAAAAAATCACATCGAGTAACCTGAGGATTGATTATGTTATTTGGGAAGGGCTAATAAACCACAGACGTCATAGATACAGATATAGATCAGTTATAGATCAGTTATAGATTATAGGTAGGTAGGTAGATGATTGATTGATTTCCATGTCCTGCTTCATGCTTTTTTTCCATCTAGAATCTGTTATGTACCCACAATGCTTAAAGTTCAGAATATACTGTATGCTCTCGGTGATGTGAAAAACGTTAAACTATAAAAATTATATTGTATTATTACTTTAAGAAAATATATACAACTGAATTTCATTTTCTGCTTCATAAATGTATGTATTTTCCAAACTTTCTCTAATAAACATATATTACATTTATCAATATAGATGCAATTTTAAAAATCAGCCTGTATAACCCTGTATATATTATAGGATCACAATCATGTAAAATTATAGACAAAAAAGGAAAGGTAACATATAAAAATTATGATTTCTGGGTGGTGAGAACATGATTTTTTTTCTTCTTTCAGTGTTTCCATATTTTCCTAATTACTGCTATTATGATAAATCATGTTTTTTAATCAATAAGTTACTTATTTTTAAAATGAGATTCTCACCTCACTCTATGCACCAAAATCAATTCCAGTGATTTTAGATAATTAATTTTACAAATCGTAGCAGACAAAGAGAACATAAAATCAAATACGAATCGAACCTCTTGAAGGGAGTGGTTTTCTAAACTTAGGAAGAGAAATCATAAAGAAAAAGATCTGCTATATAAAAATTCTGTAATATCGTCATCAGAATAGCATCTTAAGTCCTGAAGGCATAACTCCACATGTTGAAAGATATGCTGACATAAGCCTCCTAACCATTCAGCCCACTGGCCTTAATCTCCCTCCAGTCCTCTCGCCTTCCCAGCTCAGGTTGGTCCTGGTCGTTCATTCCCTTCACTCCCACCTCTCCTGCAAGACAACCTGAGGGGTTCTGGTGCAACAGGCACCCTTCTTGACCTTGACACAAAGCAATTACAATTCTTGACACTCTCCATCCCTCTCTTTGCTTCCTGACTCTACCAAGAATGAAAACTAGAGAAAGCCAGTATCCCTTTTTTTTAATCCCACTTCCTGCCAGAAGGCTGTCTTCCCAGCTCGGCCAAGGACTCCTGCAGAAGGGCCAGCGAGGCATCCTCCTCTCTCCAGGACGCGTCTTTGTCTCGATCGCGGTGCTGTCTCTGGCAGCGAGGCACACCATCTGCTCATGCCTCCCACCAGCTGCCGTCTCATCTTAGCTCTCTGTCTCCCCTGAGAACTCCCTGACTTTCAGGCCCGTGGTTTTCTCTCCTGCCCTTGCTCAGGAGTGGGGCTTATCTTCTGGGAGCTTTCACAATCTCTCCCTGTCACTTAGCTTCTCCCTGGTTTCCCCATGAGGCCTGAGATCTGGAGCCCTCCCCAGTGAGTCCCCTACTGTCATCTATGCCATCACACGTGGTGATAGGAGAGAGTGTGCATCTAGGGAAGTGCTTGAGAGAGCTCACAGGGGACTTACAGCTTCCGCCAAAAGGAAAACAGATCCTGGGCTCCAAGTCCCAGGGGATCTTAGTTTCAATTCCCATATGGAGTCTCAAACCTGTGAATCATATCCAAAGTTGAAGTTTTACTTTGGTATCTGTGTAGGGAACACTCTCTTCACACCGTGTCTTTCTCTGCTGTCACACCGCCACAGCAACAATCACCCCCACAGAAAGCTTCTGTGGCCCAAAATTTCCCCCTCACACACCAAGCAGTGGACCCTGGCTGGGTATCCTCCAAGTCAATTCTGATGCTATCCACCTGGAGACTGTGTCAGATCCCACAGGCTGGGGGCTCAGTGCCCAAGACTGCCCCTCATACCCCCAAATACCAGTCACAAGTCTAGGTCTCTGGAACTTCTGATCACCCGGCTTCAGGTTGGGGTTTCCATGATCCCCTCCTGAGGTTCAATTAACTTGCTGGAGCAGCTCACGGAACTCAGGGCAACACTCACATTTGCTGATCTGTTATAAAGGACATTACAAAGGAGGAGATGTGTAGGGTTAGGTATGGGGGAGGGGGCATAGAGTTTCCATGCCCTCCTTGGGACACCCTCTAGGAATCTCCACTTGTCAAGCTATCTGGAAGCTCTCTGACCCTAGTCCCCTGAGTCATTTTTGTGTTTTTTTGAGACACAGTTTCACTCTTGTCACCCAGGCTGTAGTGCAATGGCATGATCTTGGCTCACCACAACCTCCGCCTCCCAGGTTCAAGCAATTCTCTTGCCTCAGCCTCCTGAGTAGCTGGGATTACAGGCATACACCACCACGCCCTACTAATTTTGTATTTTTAGTAGAGATGGGGTTTTTCCATGTCGGTCAGGCTGGTCTCGAACTCCCAACCTCAGATGATCTGCCCGCCTTGGCCTCCCAACCCCCTATCTTCTTACGAAAGCTTCATGATGTCAGTGTCCCTTCCCCCAGTGTATAGGGTGGGGCCCTCCCTGGGCAAGGTCCTAAGGTTCTAAGGCCCACCATGAGAAAGGTGGGGGAAGATCACAGTCCTGCTTTGAGGCAGCTGAAAAGACAAAAGGAAAATGTTGGAGAGACGAGCACGTTCATTTAGATGAGACTCTTTTTCCACCTAGAATGCTCTCCCCGACCTGGCTTCACGTTTTTAAGTCAGGCACATCCATGAGGCCCAGAAGAAATGCTATCTCCTTCAGGAAGTCTTCTCTGCTCTTCCAGATGAATGTCATCATTTCTTCTTCTCAAATTTCCTCGTCTTGTGTTCAGACATCCCCTAGGAAAAATGTATGCTGTCCAAGCCTTGCTACAATGCCTGTCCCCTCCCTTTCTCAGCCTGCTCCTGAGGCCTCAGCAGCTGCAAGGCCCAGCTCAGTCAAGTTACAGCATCAACCGAATTGACTGAGCCAAGCTACTTGCAGGCCCAGATACATCATGGTACTTATTCTCAGTGAATGGCTGCTGAATGAATGGAGGCATGAAATTCCCACCCTGACCACAGAGCTCTGTGTGCATGGCTCTCTCATGTCCTGCAACCCTGTAGTCTCCATCGTTACCTGGTCTGTGCCGGGCTCAGGACATGTGAGCCCAGGAGGGTGCTCATAACACAAATGGGTTACTGGCTTGGCTCATTTTCTTCTTCCCCTCATTATGGGTCAGGTCCCTAGAAGCAGAATCAGAGATGGAGATTCTTAGGCAAGTGATGTTTTGAGGGAGTGCTCTCAGGAGAAACCCACAGGCGAGTGAGAGGAGTAGGGGAATGAGCTCAGTGAGGATGTCAGGGGAAATCCCGCCTCAGTTTGATCCCCTGGGGAGCCCTGGAGCACAAAGTGCACCATCAAGGTCATCCTGGCCACAGAGGCAAGAGGGCTGGGCTGATAGACCCTCCATTTATCAGCTGTTGGCCACCATGCCTCCAGAGTAGAGTAAGGGAGGACTTGTAACCTCCCACACCTCTGGCCTCCAGGGAAGGGTAAAGCGTTGTGCAATTACCAGCCAACGCCTGCAGCAGCTCAGAGATGGGGGCACCAGCTCCGTAAAGGGTGGCTAGGTGAGACATCAACAATATCTATTGTACCTCCTTCCTTTCTCTCTATCACACATATTTTCTTTTGACATGTCTGTCACCAGCTTACTCTTTTTTTTTTAATCTTCATAGTTGGACGTGAACACAACTGACTAATTCCAATCTTGATCGATAATACTGAAACCCCAGACTCCTTGCTTCCATGGACTAGACAAGGCTTCATTTGGAATTGTTATCACAGAATTTTAGACACCATGTAGTGTTGTTTCTCCATTTCACAGATGAAGAAACTGAGGCACAGAGAGACACGCTTTACCTTGTCCAGCAAATTTTGTGGCAGAACCAAGGCAGAGGCTGCCTAACTTAAGAGCTATTCCACCATGCCTCTATTTATGCATATAGTATAGCATTAGGACTATTTTGCTGAGATTTTCTAATTAATCGTGATTGGAAATGACTATTAGATGGAATGCTTGGGAAAAAGTTACTGCCAGGAATAGTATTCTCTCCTGTGGTTTATGTCTTAGATGAGGACATGGAGTTAAGCCAGATATAGAACCTACTTTAAACCTTACAGAGTTTTTAAACCAAACTTGAACCTTCTGGAGTTCATTTATTTATTCTTGGCAACTTTCAGCTTCCTGATTCTTGGAAAGTTGCTGGCTCATTTAGAAGAAAAACTCATGAGACTTCTTGTGCATTGAGTAGCTCTTACAAAACAATCTTTTGAAGTGTAAAGTGTAAATGAATAAGAAGCAGAAGACAGAAGTTCTCCTAAAATACACATGGATGTAATCATTAAGGCAACAGGCACTCTAGCAAAATGCATAATTGTTCTTTGTGCCTGAAACACTGTGGAAATAGTCTTGTGCTCAGCAAATCCCAATCGTGGTAGAGTATTTCCTTTGTCTGAGATTCCCCTTAACTATGTGAGTAACAGAGGTTGATGCCAGAGGGCACCAGAGGGAGCATGGCCAGGCCTGGATTCACTCCACACTGTCTCCCAAGCATTTCTCTTGCAATAATCTCCTCTATCAATCAAGCTTCTTTCTGCTTCCTAATTCAAACTGATCGGAATCATGTGCTGCCTACTTAGGACAACTGCTTTTCTGCATTTAAAAGCCCAATACTCCCCAAAGGTTGGGCGCCATGAAAGAAGGGTCTCCTCAGAACACAGATAATTTCTTTGGATACATATAAAACCTTTTTGCTTCTTATTTGGCCTTCAGGAGACCAACTGGTCTTAGTCCTGCTTCACATTTTGGGTTTCTTCTAGCCCAGGTTCAGTTCAAGTTTCATTAAGATTTCTTCCTTCTTTTTGGAGATATGGTTTTACTTTGTCACCCAGGCTGGAGTGCAATTGTGCAATTATGGCTCACTGCAGCCTCCCCTCCCAGCCTCAACCAAGCTCACTACAGCCTCAGCCTCCCAGCCTCAAGCCATGCCACTACCACACCTGGCTAATTTTTGTATAGATGGGGTTTCACCATGTTGCCCAGGCTGGTCTCGAACTTCTGGGCTGAAGCCATCTGCCCACCTTGGCCTCCCAGAGTGAGATTATAGGCACGAGCCAATCCGCCTATCCCAATTTCTTAAACAGTTTCATTCTGCTGTATGTTATAGAAGATGGCTTTCTTTCTTAAAAGCCAGTCTAGCTGTTGAGGCAAAGAGCAAAATAAGCAATTGTCTAGTGCCTGGAAACTCATTTTGGTTGTTCTGGACAATCAATTCCTAGTTCACCTCCCACATTACTCCTCTTCAGCATGACCCAGGGAGAGTATTGTAAATTCTCCCTCCACTCTACAGTTAACACAGACCATCACCCTTTCCACACAACTGCAACAAATGCTCAAGACCAGTTTTAATTATGTTCACGGGTTTTTGAACATTCCAGAGCTCCCTACTATTTGGAAAGATGGCAGCTACATCATAGCTGAGTAGATGGGACACAGGCTTTGGAGTCAACCGACCCATGTTTAAATTCTGGTTTTCCTCCTCATTAGCTTTGTGGCCTTGGGTAAGAGACTTGGCATTTCTGAATCTAAGCTTCCTCATCTGTATAGTAGAGGTAACATTGCTTAGCTTGCAGGGTAGACGTGAGAGTCTAACTAATGTTCAAAGATGACTAGCCCATAGTAGGTGCTCAAAAACTGGGAGTGGTTACTATTATTTTTGTTTTGGTGACATCTGTCCTTCATTGCAGATTGTGCAAGGGTACCCAAATCTTAAAGACCTCTGCCGGCATCTGGGACCGACCTCTGAACCATTGCTCTGAGCTAGTACCACTTACTGTGCTTTTTCTCTTCCTGCCCCCTCAACCCGGCCTCAGTGAGGAAAGTACAGACTCATGAAGGGCAGAAATGACTTGCTCAAGGTTTCTCAAATGAGGTAGGCCCTCCTGAGCAAGGGGATCCCAGAATTATCACTCCTTGTTATTTCTCGAGTTTTTCAATGGAGATGGGGAAGTATTTTGAAGCATCAGCTCTTTTCCTTCTCCTGATTCACCTCTACTTCTGACTTTAAAAAAAAATTAGCCATTGGCTGCTGCATACTCTAGCTCCCACCAGAACTGGCCAAATTTCCAGATATTTCCAACTACATATCAGGTGGCATAGTGTTTGGAAAAGGGGTAGAAGATGGAGACATGGGTTTGGACATCTTCTCCCTGAGATGTTAGCTGAGTTTCTGGTCGAGGGAGAAGTAAGCGCAGTCTCTGAAAGCAGTAGAAGAAATGAGAAAAGGGAAGATAACTGAGCTCATATGCTAAGAGATCACAGGTAATATGTAATATGATCTATTATGTAATAGCCAAAAAAATTTGATACAGAAAAATAGAGAAGAGCTCACCCCACAGGTTGTGAAGACATATATAAAGCTACTTTGAAAGAAAATAAGTGGTACAGTGCTGATAGAACAAGATCAGCAGACAACAGTACACATATAACAACTTAATATGTGATCAGTAAATGGCTCTGGGTCATGTAATTATTGATGAGTTATTTGAAAAATCCAGTTAAGTCTTGAGACAGAGAGAGTGCTTACCAAATATTCTGTGGGATCCCCCCAACTGGAAACAAAAGACAACACGGTAGAGTTGCAGGTAGAAGTAGCCTGGGTCCCTGAGTCACTGCCTGGAAGGGCACCAAACAAGGAATGCCATCCAAACATCACTGGGCTTGGTGTGAGTGAAACCTAAGGCTTTGTTGTGTTAAGGTATTAGATTTCAGGATTTGGCCATTGTAGCAGCTGGCATGAATTATCTCAAATACCAACACCTTTGCACCTTGCACCACATATTAAAATCAAAATAAATTCTAGTTTGAATAAGAAATAAAACGGAAAATAAAGGAGGATGTTTATTCAGTCACTGGATGGGGTTTTCCTAGGCCTGAAAGCAGTAGAAGAAATGAGAAAAGGGAAGATCCATAGTCTAACTACATACAAATTTTAAAATTCTGTTTGAGACAGATTTGAATTTCAAAACAGAATTGAACAACACTTGGGGAAACTGCATTTGCAGCAAATATGATGAAGGGTTAATATCTTCAATATTTACCGAGCTCATAAAAATGGAGCCAAGGGAGAGAGAAAGGATTATCTGAAGCAAAGTTTTAATCATAGCTGGCTTGTCCTGTTACCTGAAATGTTTCTGAGTTCCCTGTTGCTGCCAGTTGGTTTGCGTTCTGTACATGCAAACTGTATTTAACATTGGCTCAGACCCAACCTAATTAGTAAAGTCGATCTGCCGCAAAGAAAAGATCATTATAATGCTTCATGCAGCCAAATGTCCATGATGTGCTGCATGTGTTATTGGAAGTTCTCCACATGACTGCTCCCCTCTGTTGGTGCAAGAAATTTAGAACTGGTCATATACCCCTTTCCGGGGACTCAAGAGGAATGGTGGGATTGTCCCCAGGAACAGAGGCAGGAGCAGACAATGGAGAAATTTGAGGCAATTTTAAAAACACATCCTGCTTGTACTCATTGAATTACATTATGGAGGCCATTATGTAGTGCTACTTAATTCCTATGCATGACCTCATTTAACCCTCACTCCAGACCTATAGCTAGGTATCATTTCCTTTTTTTCAAATGAGGAAACTGAGGCTCAAGTTGATGAAGTAATTTGGCCAAGGCTACATGGGAACTGGCAGAGCTGAGATCTGAATTCCAATATGTATGACTCCAATCGCCGCCAACATTACCTCCTGCTGAAGTAAAGACAGGTTCTAAATAAATGACGTTTCTTGGCAATACCAGGGTTTGAGGGGTATAGGAGGATGTGGGAGAATGGATACAGAGGGGGGCAAGGGTACAACTACTGTTGCCAGCTACCTTCTGACTTGAAACAACTGAGGAAATTCCAGACAAAATATCTGAAACAGATACTGGATACGAGGAACAGAAGAACGGTGATCCTTAGGAGATGGGAAATAAATTATATGAGTCCCACAATTGCCCCACCTATCTGCCAGGCCACATTGCAGGAAGGGGGAACCCAGGCAGAACCCAGAAGTCCCCTTAAGCTAAGGAGATGGAGGTGCAGTGCCAAGACAAATAGAATTCACATGCCAGAAAATAAAAAACAGAAGGATACCCATGCAGAAAGCTCTAGCAATCTATAGAGAGTCCTCTCT